GTTGTAATGTGACAAAATATGGAAAAGTTCAAGGGGTATGAATACTTTTGCAAACCACTGTATATTGTGATATTGATTTTAGGCCATATCATCCAGCCCTAACGCCAACTGGCGCTGATGTCCCCCGTCACATTCAGCAGTGACTGTTAGCAGTTCATTATTTCAGTCATCTCATAATGTGAACAGACAGATGAAGCAACGGATGGACAGCTAAAGCGATCTTGTCAAACTACTGCATTAACGTATTGGGCAGGTCTTCCACATGATACACACAAAATTTGGTGCAGATCGGATCATGTATGTTTGATTTAGAGCAAATTGTGTGTAAACGGTGAGGCATCAGCATTCACCACCCTGCCACACCCACACCATCCTGCCACCAGTCAGTATAGAGAGAAGCCTGCAGCATGTGAAGTCTGCATGTTCAAAGGTGTAGGAAGAGTTAGCTCAGATACATGTGCAAGAAAAGAGAGAAATTGACAGCTTTGGTCCAAAATGGCCGACTTCCTGTGGGGTTTCATCAAAGTCTTTATGCTTGAATTCAAGTTCTTTTTTGTGTTCTGACACAATTTGTTGCCAATAGCCTATATGCCACGGTCATTAATGACGTATTTCCAGTAAAATTCTTGCCACGCTCCTCCCTTCCACTCCCTGCCTACTGCCTATGTTTTTAGTGTTAGCTCCTAGTATTAGTCCGTGAAAAAGTCACAAAGGTTAAAGCATCTGTGATCTACTGGTATAAAACGTGAGTTCTGTTGTGTGCCATTGTGTCCACTAACCAGCAGTACGATCAAGTAGTTAGTTTTTCTCCTTTTTCCTTTAGATGAGGAGGTGACAGCTGTGGATCATAGCATTACAAGGAAAACTTATCTTTAAAAGCTCACGCTTGCGTTTGTAATCGGCATTTCTAACCTGAGGATATTCAAGAGTCAGCATCAGAAATGAGAAGACGGAGGTTACAAAAGGGAAACGTACATTTATCCCCTTTTACTGCCAAGACGAGAGAGGAAAGACCACCTCCACACAACAGCTAGCAGGAAGCTAACACAGCAGCCGGTACAAAGGTAGGTGTATGCATGTGCGCGTTTGTGTTATATGAAATGTTTTTATGCGACTTTGT